GCCCATTCAAGTTGCAAACAAGCTTGAGGACAAGACATCAGAAAATCTACCTTCCAATACTTTTCAAAAATTACATGAGAATCTTCAAAGTAATTCAAGAAAAGCAGGGAGATGGGAACCAAGAAACAGTATATCCAACCTAGGATGCTTTGAAAAGAAATCTGAGGATGACATTCTCTACAGCTTGGAAAGTATAAAAATAAAGCAGAAAGTCAAAAGATTCTCCTCCTTTAAAAAAAAAAATCTCTGCAAGAAGAGCTGATTCAATTCAATAAAAGCTAATTCCATTCAATAGAAGGTATGAGGCAGAAGCTGGAAAATCTTCACGATATGGTAGACAGCACACGCTTCTTTTCTGAACCTATTTTAAAAAGAGCTAATTGGAAAAATTCCAAGCCAAAAAAAAAAAAAAACCAAAACCCAACTTTACAAGACAATAATGGTCTAAATATGTATTGAACTAAAATAAGGCATTCTTTTAGTCTCATAGGAGCATAGGAAACCCACTTCACCTTGACACTTGGCAGCTGCTTCTCCAAGAGTTCTTTTGAATAACATTAGCTTTCACTCCCAAGTTAGTGATGTAAATTTCTCTGAGGTTCTCTTCTCATGAACTGTTTCTTCTAAGAAGAACAGTTCCTCAGTCTTACATTGCAACAGTTCTAAATTTTAGACTTAACCCACAGACAAAGCATGGAAGACCTAATTACAGTTATAGAGCCAGCCGAAAATGCTGTAGTCCCTGTCCACATAAAGACAGTAATAGCACAGCTGACAGAACTCAGGAGGAGGCAGAGAGGGTAAATTCCTTTTCAACTTACTAGAGAATAAAGAGACCCCACAAAGAAAGAAAATAGCCAAAACACATAAATGGCACTTCAAGTAAATTATCTAAAGTGACATTTATTATTAACTAAACTCAGGAGGTAAGAGGTAAGATTTATGTAAGCTAGGTTGCTCTTTTTCATCGCTCAGAGTCAAGGGATACTGTAGAAAATTTGTAAGTCACTACTTACAGACTTATGGCTTAGAATTTTGGAGGAAACCACCAAAAAAACTAAAAATAGATGTGGTTAAACACTGCCCATTCCAAGGACTGGGCTAAGGGAGATAGAGCATGTTTACTTTTCATTTAATACATTCTTAATCATTTCCATGTCTGGCATTTTTTTTATAACAATGATTAAAAATAACAAAATGATGATAATATTTTAAATAAATGTTTTAAAATGTAAGGCCAATAAACAAAACCAATTAAATATAAACTTGATATCTGCATTTCCCAGCTCTGTAAACTGATTTCTTCTTGAACAGAGTGGAGAGTAATAAAAAAAAAAATGTGGGCTTTGGGGTTGGACAGACTTGAATTCCAGGTTTAGCACTTACTCATACAGTGATCTGGGGCTTAATTTACCAAACTTTCCCAAGCCTCAATTTCATCAGTCACAAAACACTGGTAAAATTTAGCTTGAAGCACTGTTACGACAATTTAAAAAGATAATGTATATTACAATGCATTGAAGAGATAACACATAATAAAACTTGAAGTGAGATAAGATATATTAAAATATGTGCCGAGTACATATGAAGCGCTCAACAAAGTTGGTTGTTATAATCATTAACCCTCAAGTTGCTATCTTCTGGGTACATACTTGGCAATTTGACAATAAAATGTAATAATAGCATTGCATTTCTAGGCAACTACAACACAGACAATGGATAAATGGACACCTTTTGTGCCTCCTGAGGCAGTGGTTCTCACACTATAA